GCTCGGTGCCTGCCAGCAGCCTCGCCTGCCTGAAAAGTCTGGTTCTTTCCAAGTATTGAGCGATACACATTGTGTGACTGAGGGTGGATACCAGAAAGCGTATTAATTTCACGTTTACAGGGTAGATACGTTGTTTTGGTTTGGTGTTTCTTTCCTATCTTTCCTCATAGTAACAACTTCTAATTCCAGCTCTATCTCGTCGTTTGCATTCTTATCAGCCCGCTGGCTTAACTTTCCTTGGCGGTTTCCCATCACTCTTTTCTCCATGTGGTTGTCATGCCACTGTTGGGTTCTTTTCACTATGTTTTATTCCATCATCTTCTGATAAATGCCAGAGCACTCCTCACTGTCATTTATTCTTTCCCGTGAGGTTTTTCTCTGGAATATTTTGCAAAAAGCCCTGGAAGAAATAATAGAGAGAAAACTTGTGTTTTATGTAACACCAGTTGCAGCTGTAAGTCAAGGTGAAGTGTGTCTTGTATGTGAATTATAGATAAAGTAAGAGGAAGTATGGATGCCTGCTTTGATCCTGGTTGGCAGGTTATGGACTTGCTTATTCCATGGATTGTTACTCCATATATCCCTTTAGGAAAGGCAGTGCTTAGAAAATTGAGTTAAAATTTGAAATAAAATTAATAAAAGGCTCAAAGTTCACTTTTCTGTTAGTAGTATCAGCCAAGGACCCAGCAGGCCCAGCTTCCAAAAAATCAGTGCTTCATATTTCCCAACTTGAACCAAATTTGGCCTTGTAGAAAAAAAAAACCTTAAAAGGTGAGCATCTCTTATTAATGAGATGGCTGAAAGGAAGACTCAAGTTAATGCTGTTGAACTGTTGACTGTGTATTCTGCTCCAGCCCTAGTGGGCAGGTCAGGAGGCTCTGGAGGGTTTTTCCTTTTCAGCTGGGGCAGGTCTCTGATCCAGGTCAGGCTGTGCTGCACAAATGCAGATGTGGCAGAGCAGCTGGGGAGTCCCTGCTGGGGCTGGGGTGTCCCTGGGGAGAGGCACACGGAGCAGAGCAAGGACTGAGCTCAACACTTGGGGGTTGTTTGGTCTCCTGGGATGGTCAGGACACACAGGGAACATGAAAGGTTCAAGGGGTGGTGGAGCAGGAGAAAGGGCACGAGTGCACTGATGGAGTGGGATGAGAAACAAAGGGGCCACTGTGAATTCGGGTAAGAGCAGGAACTGCGCTTGGGAATGGGAGACACAGGGATGATCTGTACAGAATCAAATGTCATTGCTTTCAACTGAATGAAGTTACTCCAAATTCGTCTAAAACCATTGGAGGATGGTAGTTGTGACCTGCTTGGGTTCAGCCACAAGGCTGTGTGTGTGGCTCCAGCAGCTTTCCCAGCAGGAGCAGCCACCTCTGCACAGGGTCTGGTGCTGCCCCTTGCACCCTGTGCATGACTGCCTGCTGATCCAGGAGAGGGCTCTGTGGAAAACAGGGATAGGCAGCAGGGCAAAGAGGCAGAGGAGCTTTAGCAGCTCAGTTGCACAGCTAGAGCTTGGATGAAGCCACCGAGGGATTTTCCTCGTGCAAAGGAAGCCTGAAGCCTGGAGTCCTGAGAAGCTGGACACAGAACTGAGAATCTGGGCTGGAGGACTCTTGGTTATTGAAATGTCAAGTGCTTTAAATAGTTCATGACTCTTACAAGCTCAGGGTTTCCCAGGCTTAACTCTGATCATTGAACAGGCAAAGCAATTAAGTGAGATATGTTACTAATGCTTTTAAAAATCAAAATGCAGGACATGTATGAGAAATTTCTGAAAATGGGGGCTGAGGAGAGGAGCAAGTGAAGGAATATGCCATTTTTCTTGTGTCTATGTAATGCTTTTCCTCTGGAACCTCGTGTTACTGTTTAAGTGAGTGAGTCTGTGTCCTGGGGTGACTTTATGATGCTGAGTTGGATCCCCATTCATCTGTTTAGCCCAGAAATAAGTTTTGCACCCTTAAAGCAAGGTCTGAGAGTGAAGGGGGAGGAGAAGGAGAAGCAGTGGGATGTCTGAGGCAGCTGAATTCAAAAACACAGAGATAGGAGCTTCAGCCTTCCTGCTCACAGACAGGAGAGAGCTCTCCTTTGCTCTCAGTTAGTTTTTAGCTAGCTGGGGCAGAGAAGTTCCCCAGACTGGTTTTTCTTTTTCTTCAAACTGATTGGTCCTGCTCTGGACTGAAAACACTGGAGCTCAGGCCTGTGACGACCAGGGCCTGGGACACTGCATTCCAGTGCAGGAGGGACTGAGAGGAGACTGAGTGAGCTGATCTATTGTTTACTATTATTAATTTTTATGCTTGTGAGTACTTTGCTTCTTAAATAAAGGTTTTTTTCCCACTTTTCTCCAAGGAAATCTTTTCCTGAACCAGTAGAGAGAGGCCACTTGAATCTGCTTTCTAGAGGGACCCCTTAGGAAGTTTCCTCCCAAGTTTGCCCTAAACCAGGACAGTCTGCTGGACTTTTCAAAGCAAAAGCTTACACTTTTCCTTCACTTTTTTCCTTTTAGATAGCTTTAAGCCCAGCTGCGTGACATTTTGTACAGGAAATAATAAATGCCATCTAGGGGAGCTCTTGGCATCTTCTGATAATATTTCCATTCAAAGTGAAAGAATATAACTTAAGGAGCATTTAGTTGAGTAGTTAGGAAAAAAATGGGTAATACATGTTAGTAGCTCATGCTGTCACTAAGTCCAAAGTCAGTTTCTGTATTTCACACAGAGTATTTGGAAATGTTTCTGTCTTTTTCTTTCAGAACTGTGGAATAGAGCAAAGCTGTCTTTGCTCTAGTCAAACCAGACTTAAGCTTCTTTTAATTGTGGAGAATGTTTTTCAATCAATCACATGAGATTTTGTATTTTCACTGTACTTTACCAATCTGACCATTCTCTGGCCTCCTGTAAAATAATGCCACCACTTAGTGGTGGCAGGGACTTTCTTGGGCTCTCCTTTCCTCCCAGTTCAGTCATTTCAGAAATTTCAAGGCATGTGAACTACTTGAAGCATGTTCCAGTCTTGCAAAATTGAAACCAAGACATAATTAGTAAGGAAAGAAAGGATAAAATTTAAGCCTCCTACAGCTTCTGTTCTGTAGCGCATAAACTTTAAAGTTTGCTGTTACAGAAATCAGGTTCTGGCTTCATGTAAGTTGTCACCATATTCAGCTCAGAGTTGTGAGCTGTTTTAAGGGGCAGCAGTTTGATTGTGCCTTTCCAAATATTTAAATGGCTGTCAGCCTCAGCAGAGGTATCAAGAGGTTGACTTTTTTCCTTTTTGTGGGAGTGATTTACTCTGGGTGATTATGTTGTCAGGCTGGGAGCTGCATCTGTGCATTAGAAAAGTCATGAAACCTTTAATCAAAGTCTTTCTGTGGCATAAGCACGCAGAAGATCTAAATTCTTGTGGGTTTAATTGTTTAAAGACACAAAGTAAGGGAACTTAAATTCTCAAGCAATCACATGATTCCCAGAAGTGAGTTTTGACCTCTGAAAGCAGCATCAGATGAATGTTTTTTCATGTATGTGTGTATGAGGCTTTTTATTGCAACTTTCCCATTTCATCTTGCATGCATAATAAATACCTGTGAAACTGAAGAAAAAATGCCATTTTATGAGTTTCATAGATGGAATTGTATTGAAATAGCCTTAAGGCTGAAATATCTGTCAGTATGAAAATGTGAATCATTTTCAGGGGAGGGTTATAAATGGAAAGAACACTCTTGGTGAAGTATCTTGAAACAACAGTCACTATTTCTTTTGGTTTCACAATCTCCATCATTCAGCTAAAAAATATTTTATCAAAGCACAGTTATTCTCTAAACAAAGAGAAATAAAAAAAAATAGACCCAAAATATAGTTGAGTTTAAAGCTTTCTTGTCATTTTCAAAACAGAAAGATGATGACATTGAAGAGGGAGATCTCCCTGAACACAAGAGGCCTCCAGCACCAATAGATTTCTCAAAAATAGATCCAGGCAAGCCTGAAAGCATCCTGAAGCTGACAAAGAAGGGGAAGACTTTGATGATGTTTGTCACAGTGTCAGGAGATCCAACAGAAAAGGAGACAGAAGAAATCACCAGCCTGTGGCAGGGCAGCCTCTTCAACGCAAACTACGACGTGCAAAGGTGAGCTGTGCACAAGGATAAAGTTCTTGCCTTTGCAGAACCCTGTCTTTCTTCCTGAAAACCTTTTCAGCTGTTCATCCTTTGCTGTTCTCCATAATTCATTACTGTTTCTGTTTCTTTGTCAGTTGTTACAAAATTTGTGGTGTCGTGCAGAAACCTCTTCAATGCTTGTGCACTGTGTGTGTGTGTGTGTAGCCCCAATTCTTTTTATCTTACTATGGTTCAGCTATTTATCAGTTCTAGCTGCAGTAGTTTGCCTCTATGTGCTTGATGGAAAATATCACACTCTGAAGACTTGTCACCACAAAAGGCTTTTTGTTCCCCTGTTAAAAAATGAGACTCTTTTTCTCTCTCAGAGAGCATAATTTTGAAACAGAAGAATGTTGTGCTCTTTATTGAGGCTGAGAAGGGTTGCAATAAGTGTATAAAGCAAATTTAATCATTAGTAGATTTTACATAGTGCCAGACTAGTTCTAAATTTGTTCCCTTATTCTTACTTTCTTGGTTACTTATTGATAGACTTCATGCACTTTATTCTTAAATGTCATAGAAGATTGTTCTCTTGTCCCCATCCCCAGGCAACAACTAGACCAGCTTTTTGCTCTTAAACATGTGCCTCAGTTATGGAGGCTCTCTGAGCAAATGCTGAAGTGTTTGAAAAGCACAGAGTTAACAGAAAAAATTTGGATTTTTCCTGTAGGTTTATTGTTGGCTCCAATCGAGCCATCTTCATGCTGCGGGATGGCGGCTATGCCTGGGAGATCAAAGACTTCCTGATCAGTCAGGAAAGGTGTGCAGATGTTACTCTGGAAGGTCAGGTTTATCCTGGCAAAGGAGCAGACGGAAGTGAGAAAGTGAAAAACAAAACAAAACCTGAAAAAGCAAAGAAGAAAAAAGACACAGAGAAGAAATCCAACGGCGTCAAAGAGGACAACCGAGCCACCAACCAGAGAGAGGAGCTATGACAGCCACGGTGCCCAGACTGAATTCTGCTCTGCTGCTCCTCGAAGGGAATCTGCTGATGAGTCCTGGCTTTTGGGGAGGAAGGAAGCAGAGACTACTGAAGTTTAAATTTATGTTGAAATTCACCAGTTTACTTATTGCTGTCGGCCATTTGTTTAGTTACAGGAAAGGTAATGCTTCATGGCAGCAATTGACTGCTTTAGTTTGTAATTTTTTTATGCTTTTGTTGTTGTTTAAAACTAGCATACAAATCTGTGTGTCTAACATCACAAACTTAATTTAAGTGGCAAAGAAGAATTATGGTCTCAGAATACACTGATGTTCATCTGTAGTAGCTGTGCCTATCTTGGGTGTGCAAATCATGGATTCACTGCTGTTGAGAGCCAAGTGCAGTGTGAAAAGATTCTTTTGGATGATGGTTTGATGGACATAGTTGGCACAAAACTGTCCAAAGTAGCAAAGAATAGTGGCCAAAGATGCCTGAAATTACAGGGTTTAGGACATGTTTGGTTAGAATGCCTGTTTGTTTAAAATAAACTCAACCCATGTGTCCCAGGAAATCTGTGCTTAGCAGTGTGATGGATGCTAGGTAGGAACTCCGCTCATGCACTCCAGATCTGTGCAGGAGGGACACTCTGTGCCTGCAGAGGTGAATGGAACTGTAGCACCTGCACGAGCAGTGCCAGGGTGGAAAGTGAAGATGAATCCAGGGCACTCAGGCTGCTCCTGCTGATGAAGGACTGTGCCTGTGCAAGCCCCTGTTCCTTGTGCCCTGTTACTCAGGCAGTGAGCTGGAAGAAAAACATTCTAGCTCTGAAGTTAATTTGGTTTACTGATTTAATGGTTTGTTTATGTATTTGAAAAAGCTCTAGCACAGAGTTAAACTTTGAGTCAGACATATCACTTACTGATGCTGATCTGGTTAGATTTTGGTTGGGTTTTTTTCTTGGTACAGATTCCTGACTGACTTGATTGATTGTAAATGACCATTTGATTCAAATACTCTGAAGATGAGCCAATACTTTGTATAATTGGGGAGGTTTTATTATTACTCAGATTGTATTCAGTCAAATGCTTTGCTTAGAATTGTTTCCCTTCTGCCTTACTACCAGTTAGGGACAAAAGGCACCGAGTCGTGTGGTCCACATCATTTTGCAGAGGATGAGCACAGTACCAGCTGTCCTCATTCAATACTGGTATGGTGTTACTTTTTCCTTAAGGTGCTAAAATCCAAGTGACTTGGATAAAAAGTCCTAATTGAACCATAATGGTTGATCTTGTGGAATACTTCAGTATCAAAAGTAAGAAACTGTAACTGAGTCCTTGTTCTAAAATAAAAGATGTCACTAAACTTACTGTTTTGAGGAGTAGTAAAACCTTTTAAATAGATCTGCATTTGGTTCTGTATTCAAGAGGCAGACTAACTCATCTTTGGTTTCTGTATGTAAGGACTAAATGATGTTGATGAAGGTTCCAGTTGATTCATTTTATTTAATTTTAATTATATTTGTATGAATTTAGATTAAAGAAATTTTTGCAGCTACACTTCATTAAACAGGCCTGTACCTGTTTGAGTGGAAAATTAAATTTTTTTCTTCAGGATTAACTATTACTTTTTTTTTTTTCAACAAGCAGAGTTGAGAAGAGTCTCAGTGATACTTGGATAGTCGAGCTGTGCAGTCCAATTTTTGTGCATAACTAATTTATCATCTGGATTAGCACCACCTTTTGTAAACAATACTGCTTCTCATCTCAAGGGAAGAACAGAGGTCAGATGAAACTATAAAAATGAAATATGAATGACTTTTTGCTTTTCAAAGTTATGGTATAGAGGTGACTGTTCAGATTTTGATCAGAAAGACATGGAAGTGCAGTTTTGTATTCCTCCTAATGTTGTTTCCTTTTTGATCAGGTTGGGTTTCAGACTGTTGGAGAAACAATTACTACACTGTAGCTATAGCCCAGCTTTTGAGTACAGGTACTTCAGTCATTCATAAATCTCCATTTACAGTAGATTGGGTCTTTCCCCTTTGTAGCTAAAAGGAGCTTTGTTGAAATTGAACCAGCCAATTGACTTTTTTTTTTTTTGATTGGTTGGTTGTTTCTGGATCAGTCATGCCAAATGCAGATGAGTCTTGTGCCACATAGCTTAATCAAATTTCAAAGTGTTTGGGTGGTTTTTTCATTTGTTTTTTTTTAGGTTTTCATCTGTGTGCTGACTTGACAGTTGCTTTTTGATATAAACCACAAAATGCTGCCTTCACAAAATAAATTTATTTTACTCTTCCATTTTTCTTCTCTCTTTTTCATGCTTTACACTAAACAAATACTGAAATATACCAGTAAGTGTAACATGGCAGTCTGGCTGCTTTACCTCAGCCAGTCTTTCTCTGCTATCACACGTCATTACTCAAGAATAACCTGAATTGCCTTTTAAAACTGATCAAGTCTTTGAGAGACTTGCACTTGTCCTGGGACAGCATTACATAATTAAATATTTGGTGATGAGTTAAGAAGCCCAAACCCTATCGCACACATGAATACATATATATATATATATATATATCTCTAAATAAATATCCTCAAATGTTACATAAGTCCAGGAATATTCCATGGACTTTTGTAACAGGAATGTTCCATCTCCTTCACCTCAGGAGATGAAGTCTTCTTTGGAGGCTTATCAGGCTTTCAATAACAGACTTTTTGGTTCCACATACAGGACATTGAGATACCTCCTTTAAAACAAATTTCAACCTGTAGGGTGGTAATTATAGCTCTTATTATTTCCTTGGGTTTTTTTCCAGTTCTGTACAGAGATACATGGCAAATCATCTGTTTTCATGACAGTGAAACATCTGCTGCCTTTCTCCTCCCAGCATAGTGGCTTCTCTGTTCTAGTGCTAGAACTAACTTTTCTGAGCTACTGTTAAATTTTTAACCCAGCTGTCCTACTCAGAAAAAACAGTTTGTCAGTGATGCTACACAGGATGTGGTTGCACTTTGTGAAGAATTTCCTATGGACAATAATTTTTTTATGTAATAAAATACTGGAAAAAATATTCTGAGTTTTGTTGATTTGGGTTTTTCTTCAAACTGCTCTGACACAAACTACAACAGGATTTCTGATCTTAACTTAGAGTGGTCAAAGCACTTCTCTGAACAGTCAGGTCAGCCTTGACTTCTAAGAGAATCTACTTTTCTGTCACTGTTCCTGAGCTCTTTCAGTTTTGTCCCAAAAAGGAAATCATAAATTAAAACTCCATTTTGTAAAGCTATGGAACAACCTACTTTTATCTGATATTTGGCTACTGTTCTCCATGCGTTGCTGGTAAGATTTATAAATTATTTCCATTCTTTTACATGTGGCTCATTTCCTTTTTTAATAAGGAAGTAACACTGATTAAAAAAGTGTTACTCCACTCTGTCTTTTCCAGAGCTTTTATTTTAAATTACATTGGATATTTATAGAAATTCAAAGAACTTAGTGCCTAAATAGAGGGGATGCCTCTGTTTTTAAAATGCCTAATTCATTGGTACTGTCATGTTTTTCTTTATGATTGCCATCCTACTAGGTCCATCATACCCTGCTATTTGATAGTTCTTATTCTAAGATATTGAATGAAATGAATATTTTATCTTAGAGTGGATAAAATGAATTATTTTTGAATATCACTGTTTTTTATGTTTTATACTGTACCCCTTTAACAGGACAAATGCCATTGAATTCAGGTAGTACCAAATTGCCAGAAAGGAAAATCACTCCACTTGGATTTTTGGATGATGGTATTTTTTTTCCTGCAGCAGTCAGGTGGTGGAGGGGGTTGGACCCTGTGGCTCTGGAGCAGTTTTTGATTAGCATTTAAAAAGCTGCTGTAACACACAACAATCAGGCATTGCACAGTGCCAGCCTTTAGCCAGGGACAGATGGGAAATGCTTTGTTCCTTTTGGGTGTGATGCTACTCAACAGATCAGTGCTGATACTGGCTGGGTCACCAGTGGCATTATATCAGTGTGATAGGAAAACCAGATATGTTAACCATAATTTCAATTAACAGTGATAATGGTAATAATGATTTTTAATAGGTTTTTTTTAATTTATTTATTCATTTATTTTTTATTATTACATAGACATTGGTATTTTGGGAGGAGACAGTTAGACCTTCAGCCTTTTCCCCATTTTATGGACAAAGGCTACAACTTCTCAGAAACAGAAGCTTTTTTCTTTCTTACACCAGAATTGTGTTTCTGTTGAAGTGGGACAAGAGACATCTTTGTTTTTTGCAGAAGAGCAACTTCAATGCTCTAATTCATGGAGTTTATAACCCAAACTTTTTTCCCCTTAGATAATTTATTGGTACCTCTAAAAAAACCTGTGGCCCCATCTGTACTGCCTGTAACATCTGCTGCTTTTAAAGTTTTTTTTATCAGGTTTTTTAATCAGTTCTGTCTGAACAGAGGCTGGTTTGGTGTTGGCACCCTGCCCACCAGTTCTGTGGGAGGCACTGACCAGAGCACTGAGCACTCATTAAATCATTAATATTTAAATTAGTTGGCTGCCTTAATTTGTGGCAGAGTTACATGTCATCAGGGCTCTGTGTGCATTGGAAAGAGGTGAACAGCAAGGCCCTGGAATTTGCTTGCAAGGTGCAAGGATTGAACAGCACCATGAAGTGAGCTGGATCTTACTGTAACTTTATATATAAAGTTTTCTCTGTACTAAGGAAGACTGAATTATACAGGAATAAATGTAGTGCAAGGTTTAATAGATGTATTTATGTGACAATTGCTATTATTTCTGAGATTCATGCCTGAAGGCCATCTTGTATATTTGGGATTCTTTTTAACTTGCCCTTCCTGCAACTCCATTTCATTCAACTTCTTTTTGCAAAAAGATTTAGTAATGAGTCAGTTTGCATCCCCTCATCTAAAATGATATTTCAGAAGTGTCCAAAATAGTACATATGTGAAATTACATGAGACTTTTATATGAGTACTTTATTATTAATCCTGCCAGTTGTATCCACAGCCATACCCTGTGCCTTGCCAACCCTAGATAGTCAGCTGCTGTCTTTCAGGTGCTGTTCAGCATATTAATCACTGGTGGACTTTAGATAATTGCACTTATAATAGGATGCAGTTGCTAGGACCTTAATGGAAGCACAGACATGCAAATGCTTCGGCATTTCAGACAACAGTTGAGCACAAGATCTTGAAAAAACAACTGTCACCTTTAATGTGGGTACCAGGTAGTTTGTTGCGAGCTAATGAGCTGTGCAACCTAATGAGGGCAAGACCACTTTCCTTTTTATCACCACTCCTCTCAGCCTCTGTTCCCACATAACATCACCATTTAAGCCATATTGCTCAGTGCTCAGATAACCCAACTAAGGCCTGAAATTATTTCAGCCATGTTGTTATTTCTGGCAGCAGTGATAAGCCAGGAGAGCCTCACTTTCTGGGATGAGAAAATCAACTTTAGATTTGTAATCAGAGCAGTTCGTGTTCAAGAGACAGAGCTGTAGCACTTGAATACTGGAACTTTCTACAGGAAAGCAGAAATAAATGAGCTGCATTCATTTCCTTAGGTGTTGCTATCAGCTGGCAGGCCCTTTGCTTTCAGGTGAGGTATCTGTGCTTTAAGAAACATTATCCTGTACTAATCCTACACCGACACAGGAGGAGAGGAGATGGGGTTATGGTGGGGCTGGTAATTTCACTGTGATCTCACATTACACCTCTGGCAAAGGAAGAGAGAGAAGTATTTGTAGGGAGCTTTCTCCTGAGTAATTTCCTATTGAATCCTGTCACTGTTCCCTTATCACAGGCCCCTGCCCATGTCCTGACAGTGCTGAGACACTCCAGCTGAGCCTTACACTGTGAAATTGTGAACAGATCCCTTTGCAGAGTGCTGCAGCTCTCTCTGCCGTTTTGTTAAGGTTATCGTTGCCTTGTTGTTGAGGTTATTCAGTGACGTACGGGCTGGGCTCAACTCCGCGCTGAGGGAGCAGTGCAGGGAGCAGCTCCTGGAGGGTTTCTGTGAAGGAGGAAAGGTGTGGCTGCAGCCCTGCTTTGTACACATCCCTCCCCATCCTGTGCTCAGAAGGGGGGTGGCAGAACAGCCCCTGAGAGAGCTCCAGGATCCGGGCAGAGAAAGCCGGGACACAGCGCAGCGGCTCCAGTGATGGACCGGCTGCTCCCAAAGGCCGCAAGCGCTGCATGAACAGCGCTAAATCTGGGGACAAGGACAGACAGCGATTCCTGTGCTCCACAGCGCTGCGGAGAATAACCAAAGCTCTGTGAGGCAGCGGAGGGAGCATCCCTACACCCCGCAGATGGCAGCAGGAGCGGTGAGAGCTCCGTTTGGCCCTTGGTGCCCGGGAGAGG